TATTTTCTTTCAAGCACATTCTTTTGAATGGAATGGTAAAAAACAACTGTAACATTAGCCAACATTAGATTTTTTACAAATAATTGTTCGTTTCCTAGTACAATTTTTAATTGACTATGATGTTGACGTCCATCAGGGTTTTGACAATTGCATAATCAGTTTGCAATTTCAAGAAGTCTGGATTTTCCTGCTGCACACCTAATGTTCTGCCTTGAATATTCCTAGGTACTGATAATTCCAAATAGCTGGTTGTTATAGCCCGTTGATATTCTAGAAGATCCAAGAGCTTTGGCTTCTTTCATATACATTTTACAACCATGTCGACCGAGACAGCTCACCATTCTTTCATCAGTGTTCAGAAAATACACCTAATTGTTGTAAAGCATCATTCAGTAAATCATGAATTGGACATACTTCGTGATAGCGGTCAAAATCAATGGTGCTATTGTCAATGAAATGAGTGTACCGCTTGATTTCAAAATATCTGTTTCATGGCATTGCTCGACTAACTGGTATAGTTCTTGTGTCTGGCACATGTTTTCACGTGGCAAAATGTAATAGCCACTGTAAAAGAGTATATCTAAGAATTGCTTGAGTTCTTGCTTTAGTCAATGAAATATTTTGATTTTTCTGCCCAGTGTCAGTTACTCTCAATAACAGCTTTGTCTATCCTTATCTTCAGCAATATACTCAAAGAATTCTGTAGGAGATACCCCAGAAACAAAATCAGTTATAGACTGACTAGAATTTTGAGAAAATATTAGCAAAGTATGTGAATATTTAGGAATGCAATCTTTCCAATCATGTCTTGCAACACATATTTCATCATCTTCATTTCTTACTAAAATTTCCACAGTTCCCTGTTTCTATAGTTCCTGCTGCATTTTCTCACAAATAGCTTGGCTGTGTCTAGTCTTAGTGCAGTCATCGTCTATTTCTTCATTGTCACTGACTTGCACCTGGATCAGGTGGTATTGAAATTTCCGGCTCAGTTTCTTCATCATCTAATGTGATAAAATATTCCAAAGCTTCTTCAGCTGTTAGAAATTTTCGACTCATTTTGGTTGCGTAAAATAAATATACCTTGCAAAATAACCATTCACAAAATTAAATTTCTTTCATACAAATAAAATGTGTGAAATGGCTTTTAGATGCTAAATATAACTCTTTACAAAAGGGGATGCAGGACAAGAAACAGTTCATCGCTACATTTTACAGCGAGGGGATGAAAGGGATGTAACCATTACACTCCAAAGCGGTGTTATCTTTTAACATCATATAATAGTGGATTTTACCATTGTCCTATATATAGGTTGCTCTAAAAAAGAAGGCAAAATAAGGATCTATAATATATTTTTCTTTCAGATTTTTTGTCATTCACATTAATGGACACTTATTTTATTTAAAATAAATCGACCTTTTTATTTTATGCTTTTTTTTATGCGTTCAGAAAATAAAATGCAAAAAATCAAAATTAGTCCGTTTTGTATGTTTAAAAAAAAAAAGATTTGTAAAAGTAAAAATTTAAAAGAAAATAGCTAATATAACAAGCAGCTTTCTAGCAACAATACAGTGTGAAAAAAATAGTTTAAACATTATTACTTTTTTTGTACATGCATCAAATATGTACTGTTCTATATATAGGACAATGGTAAAATATGGGTTAAAATTCTGACTAGTTAAGAACTTTGAACTGCGCAAAAATGTCTGAATTCTGCTATTTCATTATAAGATTGTTTAATAAAATAAGCAAAATTTCAAAAGGAAAAATTAAATTTCTTTTTTTCTCCGTTTTTTGTCAGAGGTCTATTAAGTGGGACTATTGAAAAGTTGCGTGATTAGCCTAATAAAGTTCCAGATTCTGTGGCTATATGATGCATTGGTGACCAGACAAAAGCCCACTGGACGAAAGCGCATGCGACAAAAGCCCACCAAGAAAGACCCCACTGCGATAATTGCCCACGAGACTAATAACCACACTGATGAAAGCGCACATTGATAAAAGCCCACACTGACAAAAACCCACACCGTTATGCTACGTTAAAATTAATATTTTTCCATTCTTTCCTCAGCAGCTTCACAAAGCAGATTCATGAATAAAGATAAAATAAAAAATAAATTAATAACAAATAATTGAACAATAAATTTAAATAGTGGAACACATTTCATTTTGGGCTCCGGCTGAATTCAAATCCTATTATACATAATACTATTAATGAATGATGAATTTGTATAATATGTATACTTAGAATCTAAATGCAATGAACTTTGAATCTGATGACTCTATAAATATATATTTATGTAGTTACAAAATTTGATTAGATGTTATTATATGCATAGTTCTTTGTAATCTTCACAATCTCTAATAAAATGCTACATATTTATTACTATAGTTTGAGGTGATTGTACATAAATTTATAGATGTGTTGACTTCTAAGAGTTATTCCATCCCTCCCAAAAAATGAATAAATAAAATGTAAATTAAAAACACTATTCCATATTGCTCTAGTTAAAAGATTAAGAGGTTATATTTGGAATTCATTTTCTGACAGGGTTTCAGCTGACAGTTTTAATTTATTCAGAAATCTAAAAGAAAATATCTTTAGAAAATTGTCAAATTATAATTGTTACATTCAAAAAAGCTTTCAATGAGAAATATGTTTAAACTTTGATAATAAGCTCAGTCTAAAGTAAAGAATAAAATATCTCTTAGCCAAGTTTTCATTGTGCTTAACTGTTTTAATATTTCTAAACTGAAAAGGAACTAAAGGAAAAATTAAAAAGAAATAAAATAAAATTCAAGTGTTTTTAATTAAAAATGTTAATAGTTTTAATAAGGAAACATAATTATATTTAATCTCAGCCATATTACCTTAAAAATAGCATGTGAGAAACTCCACAATGATATTTTTTATTTTCACATACACGTACCAAAGTTAAATAAGTAAATAAATAATAAAATGCAATTTCAGATTTATCATCGAAACGTTATAGCTAATCACTTAATCAGAGAGTAGAAAGTTTGCTTTCAAAATAATAAATTAAACAAATAAAGTAGTGATAAAATATACAAACAGACATATATTTGAGACATTAAAATTCAGATCTGAATACTCCAATTTTTTATAATTAAAATTATAAATACATGGTTTAGTAAAAAAAAGAAAACACAAGTCCCTTTTGATTATGTGCGCTTTTATCAGTGTGGGCTTATATCTATGTGGGCTTTTATCAATGTGTGCTTTCATCGCTGTGGGCATTTGTCCCATGCGCAATTATCACAGTGAGCTTTTTTTTTTTTTTTTTTTGTCGCGTGCGCTTTTGTCTGGGAACCGATGCATCGCATATTGATATCATCATTTCTACAAATAGGCTCTTTTGACATTTACATATTAATAATATATTTTCTAGTAATTTATATAATTTACTTTTTAGTAAATATTGCATATAATATTTTAGTAAATATTACATGTACATATAAATTACTATTTAGAAATTCCCATCTAATTTTTAATTTGTACTTCAGTAAATTAAATAGAATCTAGGAATAGGAAGAGGATGAAAGAAAAAGAAACAGAAAATCCTGAAAGCTGATGAGATCAAGTGTGTGTCAAGCAAATGACACATTTTCTTGTGTGTTTGATAGCCATATTTGTATTGTAGAGAACTACTTATTTTTATTACAAAATCAATAATTTTACTAAATAATTATGACAAAACTAAACTGTAATTAGTTGAAGAATTAAATATCCAATTTTAAGTGTTTGTGGACAAGGTAACTGAGAAGCAGTTGTATAGTGTTTAAACTTGAAGTGTTTGGTTTTTGGAGAAAATGGAAAGAAATGCTGCTGATTTATAAATTTCATATTGAAATTGAGATATATAGAAGGCAATTTGAGAGAAGAGTTCATCACAGAAGATTGACAAAATTATTTTTTATGAGTAGGCATCTGAAGATGTTTCCATAACTAAAGTAGGTTTCCACTGTCTGTATTTAACAGATAGTCCAAAATAGCTGCACGAGTAAAGAAATGAGGCAGTTTAAGAAGTAAATAAAAATGTGACCGGAAATGCTTGTGAAAGTGCATGTGACTTATACCCCAAAAGAAATCTGAAGTGCCCTTAAAATATGAACATGGTTTGAGGGATATTAAAAATATTGAATAGAATAAATGAGACCGTGTATCTTCTGGGGAAAAAAAAAAAAAAAAAAAAGGCTGGTGTATTATTTTCTATTTATCTGGCTGTAGTAAACCTATGCAAAAGTTTTTTTGATAACGTTCATGTAAAACAATGCAACGATAAAATAAACCAGTTAAAAAAAGAGGCATGCTCTACATAAGGATATCTGCACGATCAGTTGCTGATAGCTATGGAATGATTTGATGCTTTAGCTGTGAAAACTTCTATTCTTTGCATTAAAGGAATTGGCTTTAGCAGAGTGTCTTAGTTACCAAAGCTGTTTATGGCCAGATTTCTATTTTCATCATTGTTATATGTGTTTAATAATACAAGTTAAAATATTTAAAACTAATAACTTCTATATTTTAGTTAGGTGCTATAAGTTTAGTGAATAGAAACAGTGTTTTAAGAATAACGTTTAAAAAAGTGTGTACATAATATATGTGGCTGTTTAGCAGCTGAAACTAAACCTCTCACGTCTGTTTATCTTGCTTATTTTGTGCTTATTGGTATGATTATTCTGTATTTATCCTGCTTATCTGTGTGATTATTATATGACTAATGCTTAAACTTTTGTCCATGGCTACTGCTACATAGGGAAAAAGTTTTTATAAGCACTTGTATTACAGTAAGTCATAAAAATAAATGCAACTTAAAAGGAAAAAAGAAATTGAATGAAGTAAAATTTAGAAGTCTGAAATTTCTACTTTTCATATTGGCATTTCTGTGTGTGTATGATGTACTTATTATTATCCTTTTTATTGAAGAATAAAGCATAGATGTTTCATTTGTTGTAAGCATTTCTTTTATTTCTTTAGGCTTCTGAGCGTGATTCCAAACAACCTGGAAGTGATGATCCATTTTCACTTGATGATGATGCAGAGAAATTACAGGCTCTTGCACGGAAATTTGAGGAGAAATATGTAAGCTTCAGTTTGAGTCTTCATTTTGCCTAATGTAGCATTTCCCATATTGAAAGACTGTTGTATTATAAAATCAAGTGATAATTTTTCCCCAATGTTTTTTAGGTGATTGGAAAGCTTGTTATTCTTATTTAAAAAAAAAAAAAAAAAAAAACAGCCTGAAGAGAAAAATTGATATTGAGGTACTTTTGTATTGATGCATCCACCTGGCACAGTTTGTTGATTTTTTACAGAAAAAAAGGAATGGTGATATAATTGCACAAAATTATTACATATATGCATATTTTCACATGCATAGTTTACATTTTACATAGGTATTTATCCCCCAAATCAAATGATAATCTGCTTGCAAGTGGGTTTTTTTCCCTTTTGTTCCACTGGAAATTTCGTGGCAGCCATTTTAAGAATAAATTCAGAACAGTTACCTTTAGTGATTTTGTAACAAAATACTGCATTTCTACAGAAATTTGACTGCAGTTTCTTCTGTTGCAGCTGAAACCTATAAGCACATGTTTTAAAATTGCACATTAAGACCAAAGAATATAATTTGTGTATGAAAACTTTTGGAACTTCAAACGAAACAAAAAGGTTGCATACGAAAATGAAGGTGCTACTTCTTAAAACTGAAGAACCATTATGTACATGGTAGCCAGAGTCTGGCACATTATGAAAATTTGGTAACCTCTAGTAAAATTATTACAACTACCCCTTCGCGCCGACTGTCACGTCTGCGTGCCAGCAACGAACACACTCACTTCCCAGCCGACACACAGGCGTGCCAGAGCGTTTTCCCGTTCAGCCCCGACTGTCACGTATTTGTGCCAGTGTCCTGGAATGTTTTAAAAACTAAATTTCTGCCACAAGATGGCACTGTATGTCCATATGGTTTCAGATACATGTACATCACCTTCTATTCGAAATGAGAGAAGCACGACTCACATACAAGTGTTTTTGATTATATAAACAAAAGGGGAAATAAATGTTTCCGAATGGCATGATTTATGACGTCTCTTTAAATTCGCACGTGGTAGTTGTTTATTGTAAGTAGAGAAGTTTTATTTTTGCTAAAGCGTTGGGATTTCGGTTTGCAGTTCAGTTTTTAGAAAATAATTAGATCTTGTTAGACATGAATTCTTTCTGTTTTTACCGTTGCAATGTCGAAGCGTCGAAAATGTTTAATAGAGCACGCAATAGCAGAAATGATGCAAAATATTTCAGATATTGATTCTGAAATTCTGATATTCTGATATTGATTCTGAAAGATTAACTGAAAGACGTTTTCCAAAACTTTGTTCAGAAGAGACTGATAAAAAAATGAGATAATGGTGCTTCGTTTGTTCACATTCCTGGAAAAATCCTCCAAAACGGCAAATGAGTTATTACGAGTGCAAGGAATGTAACGTAGGACTGTGTGTAGATCCCTGTTTTCAAAATTTTCATACGAAAAAAGAATTTTAAGTAATATATTTAGTTTTCAGATGTATAATGTTAAAAGTCATAAAATGGTGAGTAATGAAAATAAAATGTGTAAAATATGCATTTAAACAAGAAATAAGGTAATTAAAGTATAAATAAAAATATCTATAAAGCATAAGCTGTTTAAATACTCTATAGAGCATTATTAAACAATGCGTTGATACTTCAGAAATTTCATGGATTTAGGCTTAATAGCAAAAAAGCCCCCCTGCCCTGGACAGACGCTCGCGTAAGACACTGTCGGCCTCCGCGATAAGCACGTGTTTGCGCTACCCGGCGTGAAGGGGCTAATGTATCAATACTGGTATTTATTAAGTGCTGTTTTATATTTATTTCAGTACAAAAGAGAAGAAAAGTGGTTGTTTGATCATCAGTGTTACAATCATAACTGTGCGACTTGTTCCAAACTGCAGCAGGCTCTCTGGAAAAGCCATTTTGCATTGAATGCTGATACAGAACATATATGTAGCACTAAATTCTTGTAGAAAGTAAATTACAATCAATTACAAATTAACCTTTATAAAATGAGCGCCCACTTTTCCAGATGGTTTTGATATTCTATGGAGGCAGTGTTAATGGTAATGATTATTAATTTGCATAATAAATTTACTCTGTTCAAGGCTTTTAAAGAAAAGTATTGAAGTTTAAATATGTAGTAGTATTCAGACGTTAATTGGATATTGTTTATATTAAAATTTCAAAGTTGTTATTTAAAGTTATCTTATTATTCTGAATATTTACAAGATAACTTAAATCAGTAATTCTAGGAGACAAATTTGTAATTAATCATGCTCACTGTGTTAAGTAGGATTTTAATAATACCTCCATAGCGTCTCTTTAACATGCTAACAAGTTCATTCAGGTCTGTGAAATCTTGTTTTCATGTGTTTCCCAATATTCTTCTAAGTAATGTATTTGATTTCCTTTTTTTTTTCTTTTGCTTCGCGTTATCTCCATGTTCATTAATATCCTCAGGTCAATTGATTCTAGCTTTGAATACAGTTTTTCTTCTATTAATATGTCTTGGTTCTTTGCTTTGGCTGGGAATTAACCACTTTTTGATTATTCTAAGCTAAAACTAAGAGAATAGATTTTGTTTATTTCAGTGAAACATATTCATTCTAGCTACAGGTAAATATTTTGTGAACATGTTTTTTGTGTTGTTCCTTTTGAATGCTGTCAACAAAGTTATAATTTATCTATTTATAATAGATACTGCTACATGTTTTTCATAAAGAAGTTGCTGTGGCAGTTACCCCAAGTGTTGAAATTTCATTTGCTAGTAAAATATTTTTAAGTATTGCTGATGAGGTGCTGTGATAACAATACATTGTCAGTTGAAACTTATACTTTTCAGGGTGGATTAAAATGGTTAAAATTTGGAATCATTTTAACAATTATTCAGTAAGCTTTATTATTTTGAATTCTGTATCCATACATGAATATTCATGATTGAATATTTGTGCATGAATGCAAGATAGAAACAGTACAGCCAGCCATAGTGAGTGATATTTTATGTAGACTTTCTCCCACTTTAGCTCATATCTCAAAATTAATTTCAAAGTTTGTTGTTTCTTTTCAAGATAAAAAGAATGTTTATGTAAAGAAATTCATGTTCATGTAAAGAAAGATCACATTTTGATACACTGAAAAGCTACTACTATTTTAAACTTATAGCCAAGCATTTTTTCTAAGAAGAGTCAGACTATCTTTGGTATCAACAAGAATATCACAGTGCTTATATAATAATGCAAGTGCATTTACTCGATCTTGGCTCATTTTTTTAATATTAAAAGAAAGCTCTTGAAATAGAAGAATACAGAATAAATATGCATTACTTAATATGTTCGACCACTGGGAATGTCCCATTTCATGTTTTATCAGGTTCATGTTTCTTCTAACCTTCTTCGGAAACATACAATGACCTGACTAGAACAGAGAGCTTACTAAAGCTATGTTCACTAATTGTAGTAAGTAGACAGGATACAGACGAAGGGTATACAAAACCCTTTATTTTTCTTTTATATACAATGACTTCCGTACTTCGGAATACAATGACCCTCCACTCGGGGTCTAACGTTAAAAGATATCAAAATAAAACTAAACTCTAATTTAACTTTAGAATAAGATTGGCCTTATAATAACAGGAAGCGTATGTAGCACAGAGACTGTGAACACTACAATACGTTTAATTTATCAAGAGGATTAAAACCTCTGGCCTGGAAGGCAAAGTAGCAACTGCGTAACTTCTAAGGTAAGCGGCCTGCTTCGAACTCACTGGCTTCCTCTCTCTCTGCTTGGCAAAAAGGCCACACTTAAATACTTGGCGTTCGCCAGACAAACTTTGCATAAAATCCTTCACGCTTATAATTCTGGCCGGAAGTAGAAAATAAGAAGTGATAGTAAAGATTTAAAATAAAATAAACGTTAGTAAAACTTAAGATCCTTACATACTTCCCGCCAGAGTTAATTAGTTTGAAACTGAGGTCTAAAACGACCTTGTTGAAAACTTTTAGCTCTAGAAACTAACGCGAGGCCAACCTTTTACAATCATAAACTTAGCTAGAAACTAGAAAATTTAAAAGAAAGAAATTTGTTACAATAGCAGCTCCCGGAATATACAACAATCTTTTTTTTTTTCATCTGTACTGCATCTAAACAGGAGCTTTATTCAATTCTGGTTCCTTCCAGAGATCTGGAAGGAAAACTAGTTTAATGAAATGTTACAGAATGACATTGCAAATAACATATAGAATATACTTTCTCTTAACATTCTTATTTCATTCATGACTATTTTAATTATCTCTCCCCGTGCTCTCTGACATGTGTTGTAAAAGAACACCAAACACGAATGTGTTTCTGTCTATGTGTTCCAACACTTCCTCCTACAATCCAAACACTAACGTGTTAAAATTCAACATAACGAGACCTCTTAACACACCCTAATTTCAACTCTAGACCCTGAGGTACTATTCTGAAAGTGGCTAACTCTAAAGTGTAGCGTCAGAGAGCCTAACTACATCATTCAACCTTTAACACATATTCACCATGATTTAATCTTTACAGTCACACGAATAACAAATTTTTAACATTACTTTCACTTTTACCATATCACGGTATTTCTAAACATTCAAAATAACAGTTCACATGTATACAAGAACATATCAACATGCCGTTAATTTTACACATTTGAAAACATACATTAGTAGTACATTGTTAACTTCTATTCTTTTCAAAGCAAGTGCCAATTCTTTCTACATTGAAATAATACTACATTTCAAAAAGTCTTTCAGACTAAAACTTCTTTCTTGCTTAGAATGTTTTAAATAAAATTTATACAATAACTTTTTACAATATTTAAGTCTTTACACAACGCTATTATACATCAACTTTAGTTTTACGCGCGAGTAATTGAAAAACATAATAAGAAAATCGGTCACAACTCATTTCTCGCCCTTTTGGCGATAAAGGTAGACCTCGCATGAGGTAAAACTTCTTGAAATCTGCCACTTGCAGTAAGAATG